TAACACGGGTCCATCGCTCAGGCGACCGCTCGTTTTATGTGACCAAAACCCATCTAGCGCGCCACCTTCTCTAATCTTATTCTACTGCTTACGCCTCTAGTTGAGTGCAACTGCCAAGCCCCGTCTTTTCTCATACCGTTAATAATGCCAATTCGTATCCTATCATGCTCCAAGGTGTGATATACGTGCCCACTCATTCCCCCACTGACATCGTTTCCTCATGCTCTGCCAGCAGCTCTATAACCCTTATAGGCTATTATGTTGTTCCTTCTCTATTCAGCCCCAAATTCGCGTCTCATACCGTATGTCGCACTCGTCGGGAAAGCAATTGCAGGTCCTCACTATACCCCATCTCTTAGCCAATTTGTCCCTTAGTTTTGAGGGGTACATTTCATATCACATACAATGCCCGATGCACTTCTCCACTTCAACACACCAAACTGTATACTTGCTGCTTGATATTATTTCCCCATCTATTTCACCATCACTCTGAGATCTCAATAGATCCAAGTATATCTAAAACGTGTACTCTTATAATTGACTTTGATTCTGCCGCCAAATCACAATCCCTTCTACCTATTGGCCTTCTTACTACCCTTCACGTTCCTAAAATTACACACCTCCACATAGTTCCGTTTTAGATCTACGCAAGCGAAAACCTTAGACTTAAAGGTTGACCTCCATAATTCAAAGTTTACCTTCACTCCCTCTCTAGTCTTATCAACAAGAAGAATATCATCAGCAAAAAGCATACACCAAGGTACATCCTCTGTGCAAATGTCTAGTGAAACATCCTATGACTAAAGTAAAAAAGATATGGCTTAAGGCTGATCCTTGATGTAGACCCAACCGAATAGGAAAATACTGATCAAGTCCACCTTGTGTTTAAACACAAGTAATGCTCCTGCATACATATGCTTTAATGTTTGAATATAAGCATTATTGATGCCTTTCTTTTCAAGAAACTCTCCATAGCACTTCTCTTGGAACTTTATCATATGCTTTTTCTAAATCAATAAATATCATATGTAGATCCTCCTTATTTTCTCTAATTTCTCCATTCAAACCTCTAATAAATGTATGGCTTCCATAGTCGACACTACCGGCATGAATCCAAATTGAGACGAAAAAATATCTAATGTAGATCCTCGCTAAAGCAAGATAAGAGCGAATAAAAAAAAATTCAAAGAATCCACAATGATGGAAACTAGGGGAAGGACCGGACGTCTGTAGGGCTGGATGTGGCTGCTGGTCCGGCGTGGTGTTGGGTTCCAGGCTGACGCGCCACTGGGCTGTCCAGGAGGACGGCGACAGGGGAGCAAGGGGAAGAAGGTTGTAGGGAGAATTCTAGGATCCAAAAAGAATAAATCCAACCCCCCACAAGTGTGGCTCAAGTCGAAATCTTCGCAACGACGACTTGCACGAGAAAGAAAAGAAAAGATAAGGAAAAGAAAACCTAGAACTCACAAAGAGATCTAGTTTCTCCTACGAACTCACTAAGAGATTGAGGAGGTTTGCACTCACAAAGAGAACATGAAATGTATTTTTTTCATTCATCAAAAACTACTTATTACAATGCATGAGACCTCATATAAGTAGGCAAAAAAGAAATAAAAATGAAATGACTCAAATGCCTTCCGGGCTACATAAGCGACTCAATGCCGACAGGGGCAAACTATGAAACAAGAAATACAAGCATAAAATAAAAAATGCAAATAAATCAGAAGTAGAGGCTCTGGATCGTAGCCATCGCTATGCGTCTCTGGTGATGGTACACGTGTCGAAATCTGATGTCCTCATCAGTGAGATAAAGGAAAAAGAAAAAATGGAGGGAGTTGAGAGTACTTAATGAAGTGGATAAATGTGGGTGATATTATGGAATAAGTATGGAGAGAGAGGCGGGGTTTTGTCTAAGGCGGCTGGATAGAATCTGCAAATATTTCAATAATGAGATTGGCATGATTTTCTGCTGCTATTAAAGAGAATATTTTAGCTTGTTCATGGCTGGTACTAATTATAATTGTAAATAACCCACTTATAGCATCTGAAATAAAAGCATGACTTGCATTTTAATTTTACACATAATCCTCATATGGTATTTGAAATACGCATAGCACCATGTAAATGTTGATTTATCTCACTTATTTGGGTATAAAAGTATACACAACCCCATGTATGGTAGTTGATGTAAAACGTACGTGCACGGATGATTAGATTAAGGAAGTTTACATGCTTAATTTTTAGAGCACAATAATTATAAGCTTTCTCTTGATGATAAACGACAAACTAAAATGATAAGGTGATAAAATAAGCTTAGGCTAAATCACATGCGTGGAGGTTAAGATTGCAAACTAGTCAATTAATGTGACGTTGCATACATGATTGATTTTCAACGTAAATCCCTAAACTAACAATGAGATTAGGCACTATGCGTGAGTCCCTCACTCAACTCTCTAGTTCTCTAAGCTTTAGCGGTGAAGAGATTGACATGAACTTTGTGAATCAAAGTATAACCACGTTGGAGAAGTAAACTAAGAAGATAAAAGAGTTTGGATTAGACTTTACCCAAAGTAGAGGAGTTACTATGCTCTGTTGTGATTATTGGAGTGTTGGAGGAGAAGTAGACAGCAATCTGACATTCCTAGCTGCCTTGAAAAGCCTTTGGGAGCCTCTCCAAGTTGCGGGACAGCAAGGGGACGGTGCGGGCTCCTCAGGACAGCAACCACAGTAATTGGGACAGCAGTATGGAGTTGTGAAGAACTCCGGACAGCAAATTCACAGCTCACAGAATTTAGGACAGCGATTTTTTTCTCCAGAAAAATCAGACTTTGGTTGATCCGTTTGAAGGGAAAGTAATGGTGTATGGGCTCCAGGACTTCCCCACGGTTTTCTCCTCCTTGGAATTACTTATGGGAGCTAGGGAGAGTGGTAGGCAGGTAGAGAGAAGGGTTTGAATGCTTGCCTATTCAATAATTTCAATTAGGAATGAGTAAATTCAATCAATCCCAATTTGAATTTTAATTGGGCTTAATTTAGGGACTTGAATGGTGATTGCTTGACAAGCATTAATGAGGAATATGGAGGAGTGGGCCGGCCTAGATAGGGAGGGGAAAATTGTGTCCACATTCGATGAATGTGGACCAAGGCATAATTGCAAAAGTGAATTAAATCTGAGATTTATTTCAGATTTTAGGTGAGTTTGGAGGGAATTAATATGAAATTTGAATTCAAATTAAAGAGGGATAGCGAGCTTTAATGGACATTAATGGGGAAGCCATTAATGGGTGGCCGGCGGTATTAAGGGGGAGGGAGGGAATTAGGGAGGAGATGGGGAGTTTCAAAACAAAGTTTATGAATTAGGAAAGCTAGTAATAAATCCAATCTTTTGAATTTAAATTGACTTCATGACAAAATACTTTCGTAATCGAGAACTCTAAATATGGAAATAATTTGAAATTCAAATTTGAATTTCAAATGGGATTAAATCCTTTCCTTTTCTTGTGGGAGTTAATGTAGGAAGTCATTAATGTGATGGGGATCACCATAATGAATGGAATTCATGTGGTGGCCAGCGGCAAGGGTGATGGGGAGGAGTTGGCGTCAGGTTGGGTGGGAGAAGGGACTTAGGCCGGCGGGTGGTGCTAGGGAATGTGGAGTTCGAATGGACTTAGAAGTGGTATTTCGGAGGTGGGGTGGTGGTGGAGATGTGGAAGAACACCAGAAGTTGAAGATGGAGGAATGAAGAAACAAGTATGATAAAAGTAAAAATAACGAACTCACAAAGAGATTGTAAGAACCGCGAATCTTGGACTCTTCTAAAGATTGACGGGTATTGCAAATCGCCCTCCTCGGGCTTCTTTCATGAACTCACTAAGAGATCAAACAAGCACAAGCTTTTTTTTTTCATTCAATAAGTCATCATCCTTACATGAAGAGGAGAAGGCTTTAATAGCCAACGGAATAAAGAAAATACAAAGACACAATTGCCCTTAAGTCAAACACATGACGAGGCCCTTAAGCAAGGGCATAAACGGAAAGAAATACAATAGGCTCATAAAACATAAAATAAAATATATCAAATACAATAATAATCAAAAGTAGATCGTGGCCATAGATCATTGATCTTTTGATGTCCTCATCAGTAGTTATGTGTTTATTTCAAATATTTTATGAGATAGTTTGTACTTACCCCTAATTAAAATTTGGGATACGATGCTCCACCTGTTTCTCGCAGAATTTCTTAGCTAATTGGTGATTAATGAACATTTTTTTTTCAAATAAATAGTGGTAAGATGAAAAGGTCAATACTGACCCATTTGGGACAGTTTGGATATCTGAAAAATTGTTATTTTTAACTTTTCTCGTGTGTTGTTGTTACTTTCTTGCTCTTTTCATGTAGATAGTTTGGTGGTCCTCCCGCTCTTTTACACCAACTGATTGAACATTCCTTCAGTTCCGATTGACTTTGGAGGTGTTCTTTTCTGAGATGGACGGTAGCATTGCCTGGCTTGCTTTTCCCATATCAGTTGCACCCAATGAGATTTCATTTTGTTTTTCCCCTGAACTTTTCCGGTTGCTTATATATGTAATTATTGTCATTAAATGTTTGTGTACTGTGTTTTTTCTGTTGCTGCCATCTTCCTTCTCCCCCTGGAATTCTGATTCTGAAACATTTCTTTGTCGTCCGATTTTGTTGTGTTTTCTGTCCTTTGTCATAGTTTGTTATTTCTTTTTTGTATTAAAGAGCAGAAATGAGGGGATATTACAAATTGCTTATACAACTAAAAGCTAGAGGTAAATATTTGACTTTCATCATGGTTTACAATTTTTGAAACATCAATTTCTTCATCTGAAAAATTATGTTGTAAATATATTGCATCATTATTACTGTAAGTTTGTCATAGCATCTTTTCCCTTATTGCAGTAGCTTGATAAGTTACTGAAATACGTTTTCCTATGGGAATATTTCTAAGCTTGTTATTCCATTTTATGCTTTCCAGATTATGAGGAAACTTGTGTAGGATTGATACTTCAATCAAGCGTGATAATGCTGCATATCTATCCAAGATCACTGTGACTCAGTTTGACGGCACTGCAATGTCTGGGATATTTAATGTATGTCTTTAATTCATATTTTTATTTGAAATGCATCGCTTTCATTTGCTGTAGACAAAAAATTGACTTGTACTGCGAAACCATACTGGTTAACTGCAGACATATAGTTTTAATCAACTAACAGAAAGCCGAGGCTGAAATTTATGGAATATATAGGTGCATATGAGTGATAATTATACTAATTTATAGATGTTCATTGAATTATGTGTTGGTGATACTTTGGAGATTTTCTTTGGCTTTATTCGGTTTTGATTTTTTTGCCTTCTTTCCTGTTGTAGCTTAGCTTTCTTGCAAAAGAAAAAAAAAATCAATAATATGTAAGCATACTTTCGTATTTGTAAACTGCTGTATTTTTGTAAAGAATAATTTGATTTAAAGGGTATGCTGTTTTGGAGCTATTGAGTTGGGAATCATTGTAAGTGGACTTGGTTTAACTCTTGTATCATATTCTTTTCAAGTTTCAATATCATCATCATTAGGCTTATCCCAACTATTTGGTGGTCACCTTTATGAATCCCCTATTCTCCATTCATCCTTGCTAGCATGAGATTTTAAACAGATTCTTTGGAAATCTTTTTGCATAAGTTTTATCTATGTTTCATTAATCCAATCATTTTTCATCCTAATCTTTGAATTATATCTACCATTCTAATTTTTGCATGCTCTATTCATTGTAAATGACCAATCCTAAATTTCTTTTCGACCACTTTATGCTTCTTCCACTTTACCTTTAATATAATATTTCTGAATCTATCTTTGTCCGCCATATATTCATTTTTAAATTCTCAATGCTCAGCTTATCTATCAATGAGTTCTATGCTACCCAAAACTTAGATTCATATAACGTTACTTGTTTAACTGTAATTTTTATTAAAATTTATCTTTTAAGTCTTCATGATTCTTGCTTATCACATGCTATTATTCCATGATGGCCTTTTATATCCTTCATGCTCTCGCCATGCTCAATTTGTCATGGGTCACAGCTTTAGGGAAATGCTAGCATTAGTAAATTTTAATTTTGATTTATTTTAGGAATTTTTACATAAGTTTAATGATTAGTTATTAATCTTGCATAAACCCCAACTTCATATGAGATTGGGACCAACCATGACTGTTTTAAGTGTTTCAAGGGTCGTGATGTATATATTCTGCTTTGAGCAAGGTTAAAGACTGTTTTCAGTTAATTTTTTCCCATGATTTGGCTTGTTTATTATGTTCACGGTGCGGAATTCCGATGGTGAAAGTTGCTTTGTCATATAGTTTCAGCCATTTGTAATTGAAATCATTTGGAATTTTCAACTCAATGTTTTTATTGTTGAAGTCCAGCTGATGCTATGTTTGAACCTATAGTTTTGGGTCTCTGAATAGTATCTGGTTTTGTTTCCAAACCATTATTATTTTCCTAATCATGCATCAGAAGATCAGTAGGGGAGATGTTCATGGAAGTCTGCTAACACTATAATATCATCGGATTTATAATTAAAAACTCCACATGATTTATTAAAATACAGAAATATACACAATTTCTAACGCAGGGAAAATTTTTTTTTGAACACTTAAATATAATTGAAGTTGATGAAATCATTTCTCTGAGTTCTATTATTTGAAATTGTTGGGTGGTAGGATTATGAGGATTTGGTTTAGAAATGAGAGATGTATGCTTCTGTTGAGAGATAAGTACTTGATATGAGGGAAAATACAAGATTGCTGATTTTTTTGTATCCTTTATATCTAGAGATTGCATGAAAGGTTAAAACATGCGCAAGAAAACAAGAGATATTCTTTCATTAAATGGCATGCTATGATAGGACAAGTTCAAATTGAGTACTATAAATTTGAATTGGTGCTATAAAAGAGTTGGATATTTAAATCATCTTTGCCCACACCTCTCGTTGAAAGGCAAAGCATTGTTTCTACATACTTTTCTAATGGTGATATATATTTTGCTAAGGTTGATACTGATGTGATGAGGACATCAGTCGTCGTTTCCAGCGTGTTTATCACAGGAGTTATCGCAAATCGACCGCCAAGATCGGAGGCATATATTATTGAGTGCTTTGTTATTGTATTAGTTTTATTTTATTATTTTTGTTTTCAGTGAACCTTTGTACCCCTATGAGGGAGTTTAGTGCTTTGTAGCCCAAGGGGCGTATGCGTCTTTGTTTATTTTCATTAGCTTGGCCTATATATAGTGGCCAAAGTCTTTGTATCGAGTTTTTAATGAATGTTTGAATGAAAATCTGATTTTGTCTTCTTCTTCTTCTTCTTTGCGAGTGTGCTAGAGAGAGAAGAGAGAGAGCCTGAGGTAAGGGCGAGCGCAATACCCACCAGTCATTGGAAGAGTCCGTGGCTCGTGGTCTATCTCATTCTTCCCCTTTCTTCCTCCCTCCACCTGCTGACCCCTGATGTAGAACGGAATTGATGGCAGCCACCTTTTTTTTAACTCATAGTGATCATCTCCCGTGTCCGTCATCAAAATCTCGTCTCCTTATACGGCTGCACATCGCCGAGAAGCCGCGAGCTCGTCCTCGTCTACGAGTTCGTTCCCAACGGCACCGTTGCTGACATCTCCACGGCAGCCTCGCCAGCGAAGGCCGGCTAACTTGGCCATTTCGCCTTTCCATCGCCGTCGAGACGGCAATTGCGCTCACCTACCTCCAAATTTTGCTCAAGTTATTGATATTAAGACCATTATTTTCAGTCGAATCGAGGCGAGGAAACGGTCACATTACCGCCTGCGAGGTTCTTCTCTTCCATTATGAAGACATGGGCATCCCCTGGGAAATCGCAAAGCTCGGTGTTCGACAAGGCATGTGGGGCTGTGTCAAAAAAATCGAACCTGGACTCCGCGCATACCAAGCGGCCATGAAATCCGACGAACCTCTTTCCTCCTCCTCCATGATGGCCCAGATTAATACCAAGGTTACTTCTTCCTACCTGAAATCTTTGGGAGATTACAACGTCTATGACTTCGGTAATGCTCACGCCATCGACTTCGGTAAAGCTTTCCTCGTCCAACCTTGAAGCCCTGCGATCGTCGATCTCAAGGGACGATAAGAAGTGCGGGAGGGTTTTGAGTTCGAAGAGAAGGAAGAAGATGATTTGTTCGCGACACCGTGCGAGTCCCCGGTGTTTTACACTCCGGCTTCATCTCCCGCTCGAGCGCCGGAGAAGAAAGGGGCTGTCTCCGTCTGGGTTTCGCAGCGATGGCGACAACGTAGAGGAGAAGGTGAGTCGAGATGGATGAGCTTGAGAAGGTTGACGTTGATCTGCAGCAAACATTGCGATTGGATTTTTTCGTCATTTACGCCCTTCTTAACGGCGGAAAGCAGTAACCGCAGCGGACCGCGGGACGCAATGAATGGTCGCGAGAAGCAGCAACGGGCCGCAGAAATTTTTCGAACGTTGTTCTGCCGCAATGCCCCAAACGCACCCTTAATAAATTTTTCTGAAGCAAAGCAGCCGTGAAGCCATCCCAAACGCACCCTAACTCAAGGCTCCAAATAAGGCTTCATTAATTCCCACTTTAATTTGAATTCGAAATTCAAATTAGATCCCGCCAAATCCACTTAAAATCTGAAATTAATTTCAGATTTTGATTAATTTTTCTCTTCCCTCTTCTAACCTAACCCAAGTCCACACCCAAGCCGCCCCTCCTCTTCTCCCCCACCTTGGTCGCCCCTTTCTTTTCCTCCTACCTCTCTCTTGGAAGCTCCAATCCAAATGAATTCCATAGCAAGGAAGAGAAAGGTTCGTTGTCGATCACATCCTTCTTCACCTAGCGGAGGTGATCAACGAGCACGATCGTCGGTGCAGAGGCAACTCGTGGGACATTCAACCTTACCTCCTCCTCCGGCTACTTCTCCTCTGATCAAGACCTTCGGCGTTACCATCCTCTTAAGTGGCATCGTCTAGTTCGCCAAAGACTTCTCTCCATTAAGTAATTCCCCTAGAACGTGAGTGAGATACAAGGGAACTTGAGGTGAAAATTCTTGGCATTAACCTATGGATTGTTATTACAAGTGCATTCGATTTTACTGTGAATTGTCGATTTTATTTTCAATTGGATTGTCTTTCTAAATTGCAACTGATTACTGGAACAAGTCGCCAACGATAATTCTTCAATCTTTTCTTGTAATCCATTATTCGTGAAGTAGCAAGCTTGCAAAACTTTTATTATTTTTTTAAAATCCTGGTTGTTTCGCATCATGATGAGGACATCCGACCTTGGAGAGTCTATCAGAGGCATGGCCGTCGATCTACGACCACGATTGCACCTCTTTACTTTTGATTATCATTGGATTAGATTTATTATTGATGTATTAGTTTATGAATTTTATTGTACTTTTCCTTTTATGCCCTCACTTGAGAGCCTAGTCATGTGTATGACATAGGGGCAAGTTGGTCTTTTATATTTTCTTTATTGTATTGGCTATTTAAAGCCTCCTCCTTTGAGGGATGATGAATGATATTATGAGATTTCTGCACTTATGTGTTTTGAGAGAGCTTGAGAGTTCTTGAAGAGATTGAAGTCCCTAGGTGAGGGCATCGCAATACCCACCAACCGCAGGAAGCGTCCGGGTTCGTGGTCGACTTCGTCGCTCCCCATCCTCCCTCCCTTCCCCTTCAACTCCCGGCCAAATCCCCTCCTTCCTCTATTGGCCAAACCCCACCCTCCTAGCCGCCGGCCACCCAAATCCTTCTCTCCCTCTCTCAGCCGAGCCCCACCACCACCACATCCTATCCGGCCACCCCACCTCCCACCGCCAAACTCCAATCCTAACCCTAACCCTAGCCGCGGACCTCATTCCCCTCCCCTTTGCCTCCAAAATTCAAATCCTTCATTAATACTTTCCATTTATTAAACATACTTAATTTGAAAAGCTTTGATTTCAAATTTCAATCAATTTTGAATTTGAAATTATTTCCTAAAATCGGATGATCTATTTTTGGAAAGTTACTTAAATCAAGTCTAATTCAATTTCTAATTGGATTTGATT